GGCTGGTGGCAACCAATTTGGAACTCAGTAGTGTGTCAGCGTTCCAAGTATCATGTAGAATTAAATCAGAGTCCAAGGCAAAACAATCCTTAAAGTTCCAATTTAATAAAGCAGACATCTTAGCACAACTTGAATCAAGTTTTCTCAAGGTTGACAGCTTCAAGAGGACTTCAACTCCCGGAATTCCTCAGCCAGCCATGCTTTAAGAAGAGTGGGCTTCAACTCCCAGAGTTCCTCCACCTGCACCAGCCAAGCCTGCTGGCTGGCTGGGGAATTCTGGGAGCTGAAGTCCACCCATCTTAATGTGGCCAACCTTGAGAAAACAAGGTGTAAACTAACAAGATTAATGCCCATGCTTTCTTCTTCCTTTGCACTAGTCCTGGAATGGGTACCCACCAACACCCGCACCATTGCTGGCACACTGGTGGGGTATTCTGCCACCTTTGGGCAAATCATCCTTCCTGGTCTGGCATACGCGCTTCCAGATTGGCGCCAGCTACAATTCACCGCATCCATGCCGTTCTTCATTTTCTTCATATACTCGTGGTGAGCAAGGAGGCCTTCCCTAAAAACCTTATTGTTAAGAGAATCACTGCAGTTGTCAAGTTAGCAACATGGTTGTAAAATGAAACTGGCTTCCCCGTTGACTTGGCTGCTCAGAAGGACGCAAAAGTGGATCACGGGACACTGGAAACCCGTCATGAATATGAGTCAGTTGTCAAAGGGTCTGAATTTTGATCATGTGGGATGCTGCAATGGCCGTTAAATGTGAAAAAATGGGTCACAAGTCATGTCTATCAGCTCCGTTGTCATTTTGAATGGTTATTCCTGGCCCTGGATTCAAATCTCACCTCCTCACCGCCTCAAATTCACACTTTAGAGATTGATTTTGCTCGTTTTCCGCTCCTGGTTCCGAAGCCATTTTGAACAGTCGCTAAATAGACGGTTGAGCGGTTCCCCAACTTTGTGACTTGGTGGCCCAGAGAGGGGAGGGTACCCCGATCTAGTTGAAGCGGCCTGTTTCTGGTGGAAGCAGCTAGGTCTTTCCAAAGTCACCAGAATGTTTTTTTTTTCACGCAGGTGGTTTGCAGAATCGGCCCGGTGGCTGGTGCTGTCCGGTAAAGCAGAACAGGCGGTCGACGTGTTGAAGAAGGTGGCTCAGCTGAATGGGAAGAAAGACGAAGGAGAGAAACTCAGCACCGAGGTATGAAGGGGTAGAGCAAAGTAAATATAGGTTAGTGGGGTTGATGCTCTTTGTTGTGGCCCGTCAACGGCCAGTAGAGCTGGCAGTTGGTTCGGAGAGTGAGGAGGGTTGGGGAGGAACCTGGGCCAGTCCTGGAGTCTGGGGAAGGCTCTGA